TGGGAAATGAACTCTTCTGCTTCCATTGTCTTATGCTTCTTGAGCACTGACTTTTGCTTTATGGGCACACGGTGGGGATGAAAATAAGCCACTGTTAGTAAATAAGTAAAAAAGGAGCACTGCTGCTTAGTCACCTTGAGTGGAGATCAGCGATTTCCTGAGTCTTGGCAGTGAGTTCAGATGTCTGTGTGGGTGGTAACGCTAATGGGAAAGAGTTAATGGGACTGGGAGATGTTTGATCAAGGTTGCCTTCCAGCTCCAGGGAGCTGTGACATGAGCTGGCACACGTAAGGTGACAGCAGCTTTACCACCTCCGTATTGATGTTAGGCAGAGCACAGTGCTGTTGTCCATAAGTCCTAAGGTGGGTGCTGGTGTGCCTTGTCTGGGTGTCTGAAAAGAGAAAATAAATGTGTGTGTACAGCAAGTCTGTAATACTAATACTGCTCTGGCCAAAGAGGCAATGCTGAGAATCGGTTTTCAGCCTCTAGATCTGGCGCTGGGGACTGGAAGGGAACACTACCAGGCAGCCAAATGCAGATGTGATTGCCTGTTCAATGCACATCGCTGTTTCCACATAGTCCACTTAACTGAGCAAACACAGCTCGGTGCTGGCAGGGATCGCTGTTTGTCCTCTTCCAGCAGCTGCAGCTTTGCTTTGTCTGTGAGTAGCTTTGCCAAGTTTCAATTTAGGGTCCCAATAAAGCTTTAACAAAGCTCCAAACTGCGAAGGCAAACAAAAGAGAGAAAAGAAAAGATAATGAAATGTAATGAGGAAAATACTGTTGTATGACTGCAATAACTTGGGATACTGGGAACTGCTCACAAAGACAGTTTGCTTTAACAGAAGCTACCACAGTGGAAACCACAGTGGAAATCACTTCAGAAAAGCAGTCCTGCTTTCCAGGGTTTCCATGAGCATCTACAGTGTGTTGATGAGAGGATTCAGCATCCCTCTTGCCATTCTTGCCAAGTCAGGCAGGTAGCCTTGCAGGGTCTGCAAGCTTTCTGCAGCAGCTGAAAGGGATACTGTGAGACACAAGACCTTTTATTTGGGGAGAAGCTTTGTTGTCTATTTAATACACTCCCAGAGCAGAAAACATGAGTCAAGTATTTACCTTGAGGTTTAGGCTGAGCACTGCAGCAATCCTGAACAATAGGGAGTTCTCTGTTGGAGCTAGGTTTTAATGAACAAGCCTAAACTGAGGAATGCTTTAGCTCTCTCTGTAACCAAACTCATTGTTTAAGGTCTTGATTAAATTTTTTCTTTGTCAAAAGACAGGGTGTGTTTTGTAAATTTTGTTTGCAGCCATAGAAATCCCTTCATTTTAAGTGAAAGTCAGTGAAAAGTAAGCATTCTTTTCTACATATTCCCTGAGAATATGCCTTGCTTTATTACATGTTTTATAATTCAAGCCTGGAAAAGCAGATTTTTTATGTGTTTATGCTCAAAACTAGTTTGTGGGCCCAGGCAGCCCTGCCTTTACTGCCTTGCTGTCCTTCTCCTGGGGAAGCCCCTGCCTCCATGGTTCCTGTAGGAAAGTTAGCTCTTGAAGGAATTTAACATTTACAGTCTAAAGGCTTTGTCCTGATGTGCAATAGCATTTTCCAAACAGGATGCTTATGGGTAGACCTCATGCACTTTGAGTTGAGAAAGCAAAATAAACCTTAAATGCACAGCTCTCTCCTGGTTTTTCATCCTGTCCTTGCTGGCTCTAGTAGTAGCAGATTTTCCTGGTGGCCTCTCTCACCTTGGTCTCGCAGTCGTTTCTAAGCCATGGGAGGCTTATCATTCCCTTCCATATCTTTCTTCTTATCAATCAGAACTATAAAACTGGCTATTGACTTTTCAGGTTTCTAGGGAAACACCTCCTCCTTTAACTTCTCTTCTAATCCAACTTCTTGGCAAATTGTCCTTTAAAAGCACAGAGAGGCATGGGCTACAGGCATAAAAATTCTGATTTCTCAGGCTTTCACAGCTGTTGTCAGACATGATTGCAGGGGAGCAATATCCAGCATGTGCCTCTGTTCAGTGTTTATGTAAGCATTGAACATTAATCTCTGTAGTACAAAATGGGTAAAACAGATAGTTAAGCTCAACAGTGAGATAGATCCCTTCCTTCTGCTGTTTTAACCCTTTGGTTTTAAGGCTGGAATGGGAAGATTTGATTCCGTGATGCTTAAAGCAGAGTGAAAAACAGCAGGGCTGGCCTCAGTGCCGGGTAGCAGCTCTGCCCCAGAAACTCGGGATCACACAAGTCATCGATACAGACTTTCAAAATGTTCATTAGTGGTGCCTTTCCAACCGTTACCAACAGCGGTGGTAATTCCTCCTTGGAAAAATCCCTCCCCAATCCTCGCTCGCTGCCTGCTGCCCGAGTAACGCGCTTCCCCACTAGATGTCAGCGTTGCTTCTGCGAATCACCGGGCGTTGATGAAAAGCCTTTAATGAAGGTCCCTCATTTTTCCAGGCCTTTATCAGGCTGGTGGGAGACACCCCCCCACCCCCGCCAGCTGGCACTGGACCAAACGCTTTTTGGAGGAGATTTGCACCAAAATTTGCTTTTGGCTTCATTAGGAGGATCTGTCCTGCCGATGGGAACCCACCTTCTAACCCAGCGCCAGGCGCTGCCCTCCAAACACCCACTGAGATGTTTGGAGATGTTTAATTGCATTTACTCCGTTGGAAATAAGGCTATTTATAATGAAATATGACCCACAGCAGTTTAACGTGGTTTAACGTGGCTGTGAATTCACTGGAGGTTGTGGTCCAATCTCCCCACACGGTGCTCTGTCGGGTCGGAGGGTCCAGCAGCCAGAACTGGCACGAGGCTTCATCAAGAGCATGATCTGCAGGGGCAGAAAGAGTATTTCTTATTTCCAGTTTGTTCAGCTACTTGGCTAAGGACAGCTCAAGAAATTAATTGACAACAGAAAAAGCAGGAAAACTTGTTTTCTTCCTTTTACCTAAGAAAGGAAGACAGCTGAGGATGAGAGCTAGCACTTCTGACATCTTGAAATTCAGAAAAAATCCTTCTAATCCAGTTACAGAAAATACTTGTTTATTTAATGAATCAGTTAACTCTAATTTTTTTTAAAAAAGAAACCTCCATCCAGTTTGACCTAAGTGAAAAATAATAAATTTTAAAAAAAGCATAATTCACCATTTCTAATAGTTTTATTAAGATATAATTAGGAATCTGAATAAATGCATATACAGACTCACCTGAATAAGTGAAAGCCACAGGTGCCCTCCTGGTTAGTCACATCTAATTAATTCCAACAGTCACTAAACTTAATCTTTCTTTAAAAACTGTGGAGAACCATAGTAAAATGGAATTTAAAATACCAGGTGGGTTTTTTTAAATTAAGAGTTCCTGATTGTTGAACTTTGTCATTGTTAAAATTTATCATTTCAATCCGTCCCTGGAATGTACAGTGAATCACCTCTTCTAAATACAAAGCACAGGAGGCGATTACCCTTCTGCAGCTGCATCTCCAGATTCAGCTTTTTCATTACATTATAATTAAAATGGATCTTTAAAGTTGTCACGAAAATAAAGGATTAGTGGCACTGAAAATGAAAGTGTAACAGAAGGAACTAAACATAAGCTATGAGCAACTTCAGCTCTGGCCTCTTACCCGATTCCCATTTCATTTTTGGACTTGTCTGAAGTGAATAAAGAGCACAGAGCCAAATTACACAGTGAACTTTGTTATTAAAACAGCATGGAGTAATACTTTGAACTTCAGAGAGATTTACATTCTGTTTTGGTCCATGGTGGCAGTGGAATAACAGCATCTCTGTGTCATGCAGGGCCTTCTTGGGGGCCTATCTGGCACTTGGAAATGAGCCATTTGATTGCTGCAGCAAGCACGTGCTCTCCCACACCCAGCTTACCTTTCCTTGCACTAGCAAGAGTTGAGTTTTGTCCTAAAAGTTGTGTTCTTTTATAGAAATGCAGTCTGCTCATGCACATCTGCCTGCAGTTTGTTTTGCATTGCCGGAGTGACCTTGACCTGGCTCTTTGTTGCAGGTTGGTGAAACATCTGGAGCCCTGTGCTGCATCTTGCTGCAGAAAGGTGTGCTGGGACAGTTCACTGAACATCTGCCTGGGAGCAGCCATTTCTGCCTTCTGCTGGCACTGCAGCTCTTGCTGTGCTCTGACTCTGCTGCAAGGTCACGCTGGGGGGGTGGCTCTGGGGTACAGCTCTGTGCATCAAACCCACAGCACATCCACCTCCTCTGATCCCTGGCTTCGGCACTACCTCGCACAGCATGCCAGGGTGCTCAGCCAGCCCAGCCTGAAGCTATTTTTATTTCTTGCAATGAGCTGCTTCAGGTCCCTGAAGAGTGAGGTGGCTGCGTGGTCAGTGAGTACCAGTGCCAGTGCCGCAGTCCTGCCCAGCCACAGGTGCCATGGGGAGGGCACAGGGACAGACCATGCCCCTCAGGGGCTGGGGGCAGGTGCACAGGCTCAGCCACATCACGAAACCACACATTTAAGACTACTCCCCTTGCATTGCATCTAGTGGTGACACGTCTGTGGGACAAATTTGTTCAGTAAGCTGACCTGATCGGCCAGAAGCATCCCAGAAAGCACCTCTATAAGGGAGTAGAATAGAATAGAATCTTTCAGTTGGAAGGGACCCACAACAAACATCTCATCCAACTGCCTGACCACTTCAGGGCTGACCAAAAGTTACAGCATATTATTAAAGACATTGTCCAAATGCCTCTTAAACACTGAAAGGCTTGGGGCATCAACCACCCCTCTAGGAAGTCTATTCCAGTGTTTGACCACACTTGCTGTTAAAGGCTTCCTAGTTTTCTGTTGGATCTGATAGTTGAGCTGACTCATTCTAGTAACCTTTCATCATTAAACCTGGTGCAGGACAGAAGGAGAGGGCACAGCTGGGGCAGCTCAGGATGGGATCACCCTACTGTGACTGCTCCACTTAGATCAGCTCAGACAAAATGCTGGCTCATGCTCACCCACATGGGCAGAGCTGCCAGAAGCTGCAGGCTGTGCCCTTCCTGCTCTCCCTTTCTCTGATCCATCAACCATGGCTCCCTGCACTGGCTCCAGCTAGACAACTGAAAACCAACTGCATGACTTTTTCCAGACTGTTCTGCAGCTGCACCAGCTCATTTAAGCTGGGATTTATGGCTCCCACAAGTGCCAGTACGATAGGAAGGAGATGTGAAGGCCACCTGGCTAGAGGTGGCGGGGAAGGACAAAAATGCCTTCTGGACCAGCATCACCCTCCACCTAAGCCAGGACTTTGTCGCTCTTCACACCCATGTTTTCCCCCTTTTTGGCCTTGTCCTCTTCTGCATGAATGTCTGCTCTACTGGGGACTCTTGCTCCAGTCTTCCTCCAGATGCTCACTGAGACAATTTTTCTCTCTGCCTGAAAAAAACTGAGGAGGCTCAAGCACCACTTTGGCCAACTTAGGCTTGAACAGGTCCAATCTCCGCCTGCCTTCATCAGGAACAAATTCTGCCCAGGTACCCATAATGACTCCATTACCTCTGACACCTCCAGGGCTCTGCACAGGCTCTCCTTATCCTTTTTTCTGCTGGTGGCAGCGATATGTCCCTTTGCCACAGGAGAGTCCTGGATTTTATGCACTGCAAACCCTAATAATAACAACTACTGGAAGAACTGCAACCACCACAAAATTCCTGCTGTGTCTGCAAGGTGTACTCATTTGACCTTGCTTTTTTCAAGACAAGCAGTGTATGATACATGATAATGTATTGCACTAGCCTATATATCAGTGGATATTCTCCAGAAATTAAAATTTGGGAAAAGCTTTTAGTTTATTTCTGCAGAACAAGGGCCAGGGACTCACTGTAGGGCAACCAGGAGATGTCCAGCAGCTTCCTGTGGTGCTCAAAGCTGGAGGGAACAGCTCAACTCCTCATTGCACCCAAAAATCCTGTCTTGGTAGTATATATGTAAGAGGTCTGGGACTTACACAGGACAAGCCCATGTCAGGAGCCATTTATAAGTGATAATGAGAGGAGTAGCCCTGATCAGCAGAGGGGACAAGGGGTTATCGTTGCCCTCCAAGGCTGAGGAAGCCCAAATCCAGCTTAGGAGCTGTGACTGGCTGCCTCTGAGCCAGGCTTGTCTCCAGGACTGGGGGTGAACTCACTCTGACGGGTCGGCCATGGGGTGTGACATTCCTGGGGTGGGGATGGAAGGTTGCAAAGGTGTGGAGAAATGTGGGGATACTGGGGGTCTTGGGGTCCCACCTGTAGGGCCCTGCAGGGGCTGGAGGGAGGTGACAGCAGCACTGCCTTGGTCCTCATGATTTAAACCCATCTTTGTGCTGGTACAGGCTCTTTCTGTTGTCATTTTCCTTCCCTTTCTTTGGACGTGAGGGTGACTGCTGATGTTTGGGCTAAACGCAAAATAACATGTTTGGTTTTCCCACTGCAAATTGCAAACAAGGTATTGCTCTGTGGTCAGCCCCAGGCAGCGGATGAGCCAGCAAACCTGTGACTGGCACTAATGCTTGGCTGGTGGCTCCCTGCACGGAATGGGATTGTTGGTCCACGTGCTCCTGCAGAGAAGGTCCCCCAGCGCCTGACACCAGGGCCTCGATGGCCAAAAATAGCTGGGCCTGTCACAGGAAGGATGATACCTCTGGAAGGCTGAGGCCACACTTCAAGGGACAGTCCGTCACACGGTCAGAAACACAGCAGTGTCTCATTTCGCATGCATTTCCCTTGGTTTCAGGAACACCGTTTACAAATAAATATCAAATTGTTTGCTCAGGAGAAGAGGACTTGGCTAAAAACCTGCACAAGCATTTGGGAGCTGAAGATCCTCACGGTGGGTTTAAAGGAGAGGATGTGTCCACTAACGCTGCTTTTAAAATAGACCAGTGTGTAAATGACAGAGCAATTTAGGGACTCTGGGCAATGCAGGACAGCAAAAGTCTCTCAAAATATGGGAGCTGTCCCCACACGAATTATAACAGATGACAGTTTACTAAATATATCCCCAATGCCAAACTAAACAGCACTACATACCAAAACAAGAAGTCACTGCAGTTTGCCTTCGTGCCCCGCTTTTCTTTGTGATCTGCAAGAGACTTTCACCAGGAGGACTGAGAGCTGAAGCAGAGGCTGAGCGTGTGAATGTGAGTGTCTGCCAGGGAGGTGGATTCCCATTTTGGCAAACGCTATCAATTGTGCCTTCAAGGGTCAGTGTACTATCTTATTACAGTTCCTACCTATCCCCTGTGACCAAAAAAGTCTCAGTCACTCAGAAAATCTTACACTGAAGGCAACAGCAACTTTACACGGCTAAGGACTGAGTGAATGAGACTTTCAAGCTGGAGACTGGGATAAGTAATAAAGGTAATGAAAAATTAATTGTATCTCCTGCCCTGAAGTACATTTTAAATATCATCTGCTTTTCAGGCTTGTGCATAAATATGCATAATTCTGCATCTTTAATTGAAATATGTATTCAGCTTGGCTGTTTTTCTGCTGACAGCTCAATGGAGTTACACTGTTAATAATCATTACAATTATTTAGTGGTATTCAGATCCTGCTAAGAGGTCTGAACCATGCTATAAGATTATAGAAACCTGGAACGAAAATATATTCCCAGCCCAAGAGCTGAAATCCAATAATAAATTTTATAGTAAAAAATCCCTTTCTAAAAAAAACCCTTTTGTATGAAATATCAACCTAAGGGGGTCAGGAATCCACACCAAACTGAAATTTTTAGAAACCATAAATATGGTTTCCCTCAGTCCTCCTTGAAAATCTCAGCCAACTGAGTCATCAGTGAAGGAATAATCATTTTAGTGGGATTCCTACATAACCCCCTGCTTAGGTCTCACCCCAAGTGAGAGCTCTACATGGAGCAGGGCAGTATCCAGGCAGGCTCATGTTTGCCTCAGCTTTAATCCCCTTGCAGGCAAAATCCCGAACTTGAATGCATGGAAAATTGCTGTTGATAATCTTATTTTGAGGGAAAAAATTATGTACCCCAACCAGCATCTGGCAAGGTAAAGGCTTTTAGATTCTGCCCTGGAAGAAACCTCGTACGCATATGTGCTTCTCTGGCTGGTAAAGTTTCTGGAATTATGTTTTTTTTTCCTTTAAAATTCTGAAGACACAATAGCAGCCTGAATTCTCCTTTTCTGTGTTATGTATCACTGCACAGTGGCAGCAGGGCAGGAGACATTTCATAGGCCATAAAACCAGAATGGGCTTAATCCTCTTCTCACAGTAGATTTACATTTGTGTGACTGTTAGTAAAGTTGGCAGTAAAGATGTTGACAGAGCTGAGGGCTGGCTGGGGCCCAAGGGCACTGATTTTTAAAGGTGGCAATCGGGATTACTAAATCCTGCTTCCAAAGAAGCCTTAGCCCCACTTCCTACCCTCGAGAGCTTTTTTGTTCTCCACTGAATCATGGTTGAAAATGGGCTGTAGCCACCCAAGACATGTCAGGATTGCAGGGGAAGCAGAGGCAAAGCAAAGTGCTGCTGCCTGAGAGCTGCTCAAGGGAGCCCTACCCTGACAAAGGAGGGGTGAGAAGAGTGCCTGGTACGTGCTGACATGATTCCTGCTGTCCTCAGCCCAGGTGTGTCCTAGAACCATCAATACCTACAACACAGAGGTTGCTGGTTTTTCTCTTGGTTTCCTTTTCATTGTTGGAGATGGCAAGGAAGGGAAATGCTGTCAAGAGATTAAAACAGTCACTGCTCAAAGTGAAACTATTGCAGGTCTCGTCTGAGGCTCAGTGAAAGGGCTTCAGGGGTGAGAGGAGGCCAGCAAAAGAAAAATGCATAAGCCCTTGGGTACCTTCTGCTGCCCAGTTTTGCTTTACAAGCACCTGGGCTTACAGGTGGCCTGTTGGAGCTATTTTACAAAGAAGCTGCTTGCCCAGCTGCTGCTATTCCCTTGTAAATCCTGCAGGTTCCTGAATCCAGACCCAGCATTTGACCTCTACAGTGTGTTTCTCCAGCTTCTGCTATGGCCAGCTGAATACAGTGTTTCTTGGCAGGTTCCTCTCACACAACTTCTGAGAAATAGAGCCAAAACTGAGATGCCAAACTGCTGGTGTGATACAGTGTGCTTGGGAGGCACCAGCCAGCCTTGGAGCATGAGGGTCAAGGTGACAGGACCAGTGGGGTCTTGATTGCAGGCTCGTGACCGTGCCCTTACAGCACAAGAGCTGCAGCAGTGACAGTCCAAGGATAAAAGAGGAAATATTTTTTATTAGACTGATTAATACAATTGAAAAAAGTGGATAAACATTTGGGTTTAAGATAAGGGGATTCTGAGCCCAAAACCTTGCCTGAGTTTACTGGTAAGATCAGGTCAAGGTCTTACGGGCCCCCAAAGATCTGTAAGACCTTGACCAGATCTTATCAGGAGCCTAACAGACTCCTAAAACACAGTCTGCTAAGCCCAGCAAGCACATCAGTAATGCAAGGTTTCAAGTGGGATCCAAAAAGGCACTTTAGTACCTGAAGCAGGACTTGGACAGGTCAGAGGTACCTCGGTAAAAACCTGTGATCCAAGAGACCCCACTCAGCTGGTATTGAGGGCTGGGGGTGCTCACCTTTGAATTTTAATTTTCACTGAGGAACTTGAAGTTATGTTTCCTTGTGTAGCAAACCTTCTGACCCTGTAACAGAGAAGCTGGTGCACTTTGGGAGGTGGGAAGATGTAGAGTGGAAACCTTTAGAGCCTGCATTATAAATGGAGCAAAATGAACCCTGCTTGGTTCAGATGGCAGGTGCCTCTCCTCAGGACATTAACCTGGGATGTGCCTCTGCTCTGAAAAAATTGGGAGTTTGCACCAACCTGTGTGTTCAGCATTGGTTACCATGAGACAGCCACCTCCTTGAAACAATGCAATGGTGTAGAGGAAGATGTAAGTGCATGGTGCCAGCTCCTGGATGCTGCTATAAGGTTCAGGTGCTACTTTCTAAGTGTGGAAGTCTTCAGTTTGTCCTGTTTTTAGCCAGGAACCACAATCCACAGGCAAAATCAGGGAGAAAAGAGAACTGAAAAAAAAGCTGAGTGTATCCTCTTTCAGAAGCGTTTTACTAATTATGGACCTATTCCAGGAGATTTCCTACAGATTTGCTGCAACTTCAGTGTTATTAACCTATTTTTCTCCTCTGGAGCTGTGCTCCTCCATCCTTAAATTAGCTTGTGACTTAACAAAGCGTTTAAGCATGTGCAACTTTATCCATGGAAAGGTTTCCACTGACTTCAGCAGAACCACTCGGGTGTTGGAGGCAGCGTTGGTGCCTCAGTGATCTGCTGGAGCCGCCTTACACGCCAGGGACAGTGTCATACATAATACTTAGATTGAATGGGAGGGGAAGAGGGAGCATTTCTAACATGATTACAGTCAGATTTCCTTTTATGTTCTGCAGAGGAAAATAGTATGCAAATACTCCACGTGCCTACACGGATTCAAAATTCCTTTCCTCTTTTTTTTGATCTCCCTAATTCTGACAAACAAGTTGCCCACGGTTTCTGAAGAGAAACTCTCCCCGAGGCGTTGGGCCACGGGCATTTTTTGAGGGGCACAGTGGATCTAGGCAGACCCCTGTTTGCCTGCTTCTGGCTACACTTTCCCACTCCAGCACTCTTCCTCCAGTTGCACCTCAGTGGAGATGAGGTGAATTGTGTCTGGGAACTAAGCCAGGATAAAAATAACTGAGGTGGGGAGGGTGCTATTTTTTTAAGCAGTTTCCTGGTCTGTTTGTCAACACAACGGCACAAAGAGCTGCACCAGCACAGCAGAGGAAGAATAACCTGACTGGTCCATCAAAGTGCTGCCACCAAAAAGGGTGTCTGCAAAATGCAGCTGTATCTCCTCGGCATTGCTGCACCAGCAGAGTGGAAAGTCCTTTGGGAAGTCCATAGGTGAGTTTCTACTCTCACTCCTTCCTCCCCTTTCCCAATTCTTGTCTCTCCTGCAAGGGATGGGGTGAGCAGAGAGCAGCTGGGCACAGAGACTGGTGTTTCTGGCATGGTGCTGATTCTTTGTTTTCTTGCTGTAGTGTCCTGCCCAGCTCCAGCTTGTGCTGTGCATTCCTGTCTCTGTGCTGGATCCTGCTGCCCCCTCTGCCGTGCTGACATACCTCTTTGTGTGCCCACATCTCAATCAAAGCCTGGGAGCAATCCAGATTGAGCCAAAGTATTCTTCTTCTGGGCTAACCTTCATCTGGTTCCCAGCTCCAGCTCCAGCACACACACCGTGCCAGCCTGGCACAGGGGATTGCACACAAGGGAAAGAGGAGGGTCACCAGGCCAAACTTGTTTGGTCAGATTACAGAGCAGACATAACTTGGAGTATCCAAACAAAATTAGTTTATACAGCCCTCACTACCCATCAGAGTTAACACTTTATCCAGCTTGGGTATTACCAAACAAGTTATGTTTCTTTAAAAAGGAGCCTGTGCAGCAGTGAGGTAAAATGTTAGGACTTAACAAAAGAGGAGATTTAATCCATGAAATACTTCATCATTCATGGCTGGGCTTCGTGAACAAAGATTTGGGAAGGGCTCTACCCACGTTTGTTGCGAATCCATGAAAGAGATAGCAGCTAACAAGCAAGCTCTAAGCTCTAAGCTTTCTAACACATGTCCATGTGTTAGAAAAAAAGAACAACCAAAAAAAACCCCACCAAATTAAAGTTTAGGGCTCTCAGACCTGGGGGAGGAAGTATGGCTTGGGATATACCATCGATAATGAACACGAAAGAATGCAGAATTTATGGCCAACCAGGACATTTGGCAGGACTCCCAAGACAAGGAAGAAACTAATAAAACCAACTCAGTAATTGTGCTGAAATCAGCTCCAAGTGGGTAAAAGGTAATTTTGGTAGGGGGATCCATGACCACTGACTCAAGAAACCCCCCTGACCCAAAAGAAGAGAGAAACTGAGCATGTGGACTAATGAGCATGTGGACTAATTAGCATGCGGGCTAATTATGACGAGAAGCAAGAGAATCATTAACCAATAGAAGACTAATTAATAAGAGAGCTATGTAACTTGTAACCAATGAACACTAATTCCTTTGTTTACCAAAATGTTTTAATAGTCAAAAGTTTTGATAACTGATGTACATATTTTGTGGAGTGATCCTCCTGTACCTCAGCGTTGAATAAAGTAATGCCAACTTCCTAATCTAACAAACTGATTAGAGAGTTTATTTCCTGCTTTTTGCTGACAGGGGGGTAAGAGTTGGGACATTTGATGTCCCTCCAGTGCTGGAATCTAGACATGCAAACTCTGAATTATAGAAGGGATGTCCCACCATGAAGCTCATTCTGTTCATACATGTGGGACCTATGAGTGCCAGATCACAGAATCATGGAATCACTAAGGTTGGAAAAGAAGACCTGTGCGACCATGGAGTCCAACTGTTCAACCAGCATCACCACATTCACCACTAAACCATGTCCACAAGTGCCACATCCACATGCCTTTTGATCACTTCCAGAGATGGTGATTCCACCACATCCCTAGGCAGTCTGTTCCAATGCCTGACAACCCTTTCAGTGAAGAAATTTTCCCCAATATCCAATCTAAACCTCCCCTGGCACAACTAAAGGCCATTTCCTCTTGTCCTGTCGCTGGTTGCCTGGGAGCAGAGACCGACCTCCCCTGGGCTACAACCTCCTTTCAGGGAGTTGTAGAGAGCAAGAAGGTTCCTCCAAGCCTTCTCTTCCCCAGGCTAAACACCCCCAGCTCCCTCAGCTGCTCCTCATCAGACATGTATTGCAGCCATTTCCCCAGCTCCGTTGCCCTTCTCTGGACACGCTCCAGCATCTCAATGTCTTTCTTGTATTGAGGGGCCAAAACTGAACAGAGCATTCAAAGTGTGGCCTCACCAGTGCTCAGTACAGGGGGATGGTCACTGCTCTGGTCCTGCTGGCCACACTATTCCTGATACAAGCCAGGATGCCATCGACCTCCTTGGTAACCTGGGCACACTCTGGCTCATGTACAGCAGCTGTCAACCAGCACCCCCGGGTCCTTTCCTACCAGGCAGCTTCCCAGCCACTCTTCCCCAAGCCAGCATTGCATGAGATACCTGGATGCCTTGTACAAAAGACATCCAGCTCTCTGAGGGCTTCTCGTCCCCACTGCAGTTACCTACACCGCTGCCAGCTGTAGCCTGCAGTGCTGCCCTGCAGGTCTTTTCCCCAGTGCCCCATGGATCCCTCCATCATTTTGGACACCCAAAGGCAGCAGGAGAGAGCCGTGCTCACATAGCTTCCATCTCTTCACCTTCCACAAAGGCTGATCCATGGCAACCACTTGCCCACCTCGCTGGCAGCACCTTTATACCTGTCAAAGCAGGTACAGTCTGAGCACAGGGCATTAGCAGTTCCTGGCTGGAAGACTGTGCAGAAAAAGAGATGAAAGCTTATTTTCAGAGTATCAGTCTGTACTAAGTAATCAACAGCCTGAAGATTTGTATACAAAGGAGGCATGTATGACTTCATTCTACCTTTGTGTCTTGGATTTTTTACGGTATTACTATTTAATTGCTTGCACTAAGCCTGTCCAACAATACCATTTAGCGTTAGTAACACTTAGTGTTGTGTCTTCAAAGTGCTTTACAAGCTAATTATGAAATGTGTAATTTAAGTGAAAAGAAGCACCTTGGGCTGGGACCTGTGCTGTGTTTGACACAGCCTGGCAGGTGCCCGCAGTGCTGTGCACACTGGGATGAGGAGCCATGTGATTCATGGCAGGGTAAAATCAGTGAGAAGAACATGGAGAGAATAATGTGGGATGGTGTTCTCTGAGGTACAAAAGATCAAGGCTCGATGACTTCTGCTGAATTTGCTGGGATGTGGAAAAGCCTCAAGTGATCAAGAGGGAGTTGAAATAATTCTTCAAGTAGCAGATTGTGGTTTTGATATTGCATCTTCTTCTCTCCTTGCTTTAACGCAAGACTGAAAACTGACAGTCAAAAGTCATAAATCGGTCAGAAATGCTTGTTCCGTTTTGAGGATATGCATTACAGTAGCCATAGCACAGGAATTAGGAAACTACAGCACAGCCCCAAGGCAGCCCTTTGCCTTCAGCTGTGTCCATGGAGTACCAAACAACTGTGTGACTATACAAACACTAATTATTCCTCAATAAAACAAGTAAAAAAAGTACACAAAGAGCATTCGCGGGTTGATTTGTTGCCAGGATGGCATGAATTGGAGCAGGTGTTTGCCAAGGCAGGGCAGCCAAGTTGCAACCAGCTTTGACTGATGCTTCTGCAAGTCTCAGGCTGTGTTCCAGGCTCCAGCTGAAATGACACTCTAAAAGATGTAGGGTTCACTTTTGCCCGGAAAAGAAAAAATTTCCTTACAGACAATCAGGGCTCCAAATCTGCAGGGTTTCTCGACACACCTGTTGGTATAAAGAAAAGCTTGAGTAAGTAGGTACATTTAGATTTTTTAGCCTTCAAATATAGGACTTCACTTCCTTCCCTGTTTTAAGTTGGTTGATGTTTTATCAGCACAGACTGAAGAGAAACCCAATGTATTGGCACTGGCAGGAAGTGGCTTTTGGAAAGTTACGTTTCTCTTTGGATAGCTGACTGACCTCTGGGTGTGTAAAGCAAAGCTCAGTCTCAATATTTATATCTTTTCACTTTGTGAACTCTACAGCCAAAAGCTATCCGGTATCCAAGGGAAAAATTCTAAGGAATTCCTTCCTCTCTCCCCTTCCAAAAACCATATTCTGAACTTTTAAGAGACCTCCAACTTGCCCCGTGTTCACATAACTGACCCCCATCTGCGCTTCCAGAGTTCTGGCTGAGCAAGGACAGGTGATGCTGATTCTAAAGCTGAGGACGGTCTGCATCCGGAAGAGAGGGGGAAGATGGTTCAAGCCTGGGATCTGTGCCTGAGGTGAGGGGAGCTTAGCTAGAGGAGGGCTATGGAGGATGTGCAGAAACTGGAGAGGTCTCCGATGATCTTCTAAATTTGATTTGGGGGTGGTGCAGATCTGCGACAACACTGAAGTATTTTATTTTTTTGTATCACGTGTGGCCCCAAATCCTCCCAGACCAGAAAACGCTTCTTACAACACACAGGTTCTCTTACTTCCAGCACAATTCCTTACTCAAAGCACATGGACGCACAGCGCCTGGTGGCCCTGCCTGGCCATCCGCGAGGGGCGGGACGAACAGCGCCGTCCCGGTAAGCGCTGGGAGGGAAAACACCGGGAAATCCCACGCGCGGCTGGAGAGGACGAGCGCGCGCGGGGAGCCGGGGACCGTCCCCTTCCTCTCTCCGGGGCATCCCAGCAAGCGCGGCTGTGCCCAGGGTGTCCCGGCGGGGCGGCAACGGCACTGAAGACAGAGAGGGCAGCGAGCAGCTGCCGGCGCGGGGGGCGGAGGCTGCCCCGGGAGCGCTCCCGGCGCGGCGGGGGAGGCGGGGCCGGGCCGGGCCGGGCTGCGGGGGCCGCGCCGCCCTCCGGCCCCGGGCGGGGAGCGCGCTCGCTCGCTGGCAGCGGCCGGGGCGGGGAGCGCCCGGTCCCTCCTCCTCATCCTCCTCCTCCTCCTCCCGCCCTCGCCGTCGCCACCCGCGCCCGCCGCCGATGTCGGGACTGCGCCCGCGGTGAGTCTGCCCCGCCGGGACCCGCCCGCGGGAAGTTGCGGCGCGGCCCGGCTGCGCCTTTGTGCGGGGAGCGGCGGCGCTGCCGCCCCGGCCCGGCCCCATCCCATCCCCGTCCCCGGCCCCTGCCCCGGCCCGCCGGTGCCGCCGCCCCGCCCGGCCCCGCTCCGGTACCTGCCGCTCTTTGTTCCCCGCCGCCGCCGCCTTTGTTCCCTCGGTGCCGGCGGCACCTTCAGCACCGCCCGCGCCCCCCGCGGGATGTCGGGGAGTGCGGGTGGGGACACCCCGCTCCCGGAGCGGGTCCCTACTCTCCCAGCCCGGCACAAGCCGGGAAAGGGGGGAAAACACCGCGGCGGGAGTTCGCCGGGCTGCGCGGGGGGGAACGTGGCGGGCTCGGCCGGCGGCGGGAGCGGATTTGGAGCTCTCTTGGAGCTCGCTCCCGCCCCCGCGGTCCTGCCCTGCCCTCCCGAGGGGCCGCGCTGCCGGCGGAGCTCCGGCCGGGGCCGGCTCGTCGCGGGTCGGGGGAGCGCGCAGGGGGCGCGGGCAGGTGACCGGCGCTTCCCGCGGGAGCCGTGGGTACCACTTGAAACGGCGTTATCGCTCTGGTTGTGTGTTTGGGAACTGATGGCGGATACTTAGGCAAAGTTCCCGGGTAAAGGAGCAACTACTTTTCTGGGAGGGACGCGGGAGGCACCGGCATGCTCCCGCCGCTGTGTTTTATTGCCCGGACGCTGCTGCTGCCCTGGATGAAGCGCTGCCCGCTGAGGGCTCCCGCTCTCTGTGCTTCCCGCTGCACATGGGCTGCTTTCTCTTCCCCGCCTTACTACCAGCCTCCCTCCTGCCTTCCCTCCCTCCCATCTTTCCAGGGCTCCTGGCAGCCGCCTGTTTCCTCTCGGAGCAGTTGTTACGGATTTGTGTTACTGCGGCCCAAGGGATGCCGCACGTGGAGCTCCCGGTCTGTAACTTGACTTTGTGTCAGGTGCTGCGTGTGCGTGGATTTAAGGGAAGGCTCCTTGTCCTCCTTTCACCTCCTCAGCTAAAGCTGGGCTCAGTCCTGTCCCTGTCCCCCCAAAACAGAATAGTGCTTATTCTCTGTTTTTCCTCAGATTTGCTGGAGGCATCGGGAAGTAGAGCAGGTGCACCCTTCTCAAGTTACTCGGAATCTACAGAAAGAAAACTTTGAACGAGTTTTTTTGAGTTTCTCACAGCCTTTGTCAGGTCTGTGACTGTGTGTGCCTCGTGCCTCTGCTTCCCCCTTTCAGGATGCCTCGTGTCCTGCCTGTCCTCTCCCCCTCTTTGCATCATTCCCGCGTTTTCCTCCCTCTCAGCTTGCAGGGCGATCTCCTGTCTCGGGACAGACAGACAAAGACGTAAGTGCCACGTGCAGGGTCTTGGCTCATTGCTGTCACTGTTGGCCAAGCGAACGCAGCCGTAGCTTGGCGGGCCCGTCTGTTTATGTCTCTGTGTGAAATGCAATAGCTGCAGGAGGGACACACACGGCTGCTGGCGCCTGCTGAGCTGTGTCATGGGCTTCGGCCAC